GGGGGAGAGCAATCCTGCAGCAGCGTTCTGCTGTACGGATCACTCTCTGGAGAGCTTGCAAGCTGTCACATGTGAACTGAAGAAAAAGTCACGCAAATCATCAGTCATGTATCATCTCACCCCGATACACGTGACATAGGGCTGCTCAGTTAATCGAATTTTAATCTAAATTACGATCTGGGCTTTCAACGATCATTGAAAATGACTGAGCCAATTATTAGCCCCTCCCTCATGCTTTACTCTGGCGCTGCTCCGTGTGGCAAATTGAGCGCACCTCTCTGCGTTTCGAACACGTGTCACAACAATTAAGAGGACACGAGGGAAGCTCGGAAAGCTAAGCAGAAGTTATTTGGAGAGGAGAGTGACTGCTGTTGGTTGAACAGAGAAAAACCTGCAGTGGTGTGGAAACATTATGGGTTCGAGTTCTTCATCATGGTCTCATTGATGAAGCAGAGGACCGTCCTGTCACATGTCTGTTTTGATAATTACGTTTGTTTGCAGACATCACCCCCCCACACACACACACACACTCACTCACACTGTTAGCCCCGCCTCCACTTCAGCCTCGCATGCTTTGGAGACGGGTGGAGTTCTAATTGTGTTCCGTTGGTTCTGATCCAGGTTCTGCTCTAACTGCTGAGTGGATCTGTGTGACCCATCCGAGTAGCGATGGCGGCACGTGGGCGGGGGCAGAGGATGCTAAGTTTCACTATGGAAACAGTCAAAGGAGATGCTCCACCTCCATCGGTGCAGCAGCCCACACCTGTGTTTCCTGTAAGAGACTCACCTGCACCACTCGGGGGGGGATAAGCATCAGACTAGGTTTGACCTAATGATGTCACTCAGTTCCCGCCAATAACTCATGCTGATAATAAAACGCCGTGTTATTGGCTCAGACTTTGGTCGTAAATATTTAACTCAGATGTTGTAGTTGTGTAAATATGTTTTACAAAAACACGATTTATTTATTTTTAAGGTCTGTTTGCAGATACAAAGACCCGCAGCCACGACAAACACACAAATCCTCATCTATGCACAAACATAACATTTTCGGATATTTTGGTCACAAGGTTACAAACACCACAATCTGAGCCGCATGTTATCTCAGCACTCAGCTTCTTGTCCTCTCAGATTATTGATTATTGATGTGTTCAGGAGTTTGACAGAGGTCTGTCTTCCATCACTGATCAATAATCTGATCAATGCACACAGACAGGCTGTAATTTAAGTCTAAAATTAAGTCATTAAAGTGGTGAAAGCAATGCATGCTGGAACATCGCGTTAATGCCTTGCTTTTGTCAAGGTGATGGAGCGGAAGCCCCTCCCCCTGACAGGCGGGGAGGAGGCGGAGTATCTGTTGGCCCTGAAGCAGGATTTCAGAGGCGCCATGAGGAGTCTGCCCTGCTTCATCCAGCCGCTGGTGACTCACAGAGGTCAGAGGTCACACGTCACACTTCGCTCGTCTTCCCGCTGATGATTTGCAGCTTTATTGTGAAAGTCTCACCTGTGCTTCATGTTTCCTGTCCAGATGTGGAGCGTTACTCTGATAAGTACAACAGAAGCGAGCAGATGGACAAGCTGCTGGACTGGGCTCCAGGTGAGGCTCCGCCCACAGCAAGTGATTAATCAAAAATCAGCAGCATTCACTGTTTTTTCAGGATTTATCCAATCAGAAACCAGGTGAATTTCTGCACATGCTCAGTAGAAGAATTTGGGATAAAAATTTTCAGGTATAAAATAAATATAAATACAGGATGCAGCAGCAGTACACAGTCATACTATACGGTAATACTTCACACTAGCAGTACACAGTAGCAGTAAACGGTCATACTATACAGTAATACAGTGGGGCAAAAAAGTATTTAGTCAGCCACCGATTGTGCAAGTTCCCCCACCTAAAATGATGACAGAGGTCAGTAATTTGCACCAGAG